ATAGTGACAGTTTTATTGTTTTTCATTAATTCGTATTTATTTCCTGTCTGATTGCTGCTGCTAGGACTTCCAGTATTATGTTGAATAAAAGTGATGATGTGTGAACATCCTTATTTTTGTCTTGTTTCTGATCTTAGAGTAAGAGCTTTCAGTCTTTCACCATTGAGTATGATATTAGCTGTAGGTTTACCATATATAACCTTTATTATGTTGAGGTATGTTCCCTATAAACCTATTTATTGAGAATTTTTATCATAAATGGATATAGAATTTTGTCAAATGTTTCTTTATCTTTTGAGATGATCATATTGCTTTTATCCTTCATTTGGTTAATGTACTGTGTATCACAGTAGTTGATATGTGGATATTGAACCATCTTTACATCCCTGAAATAAATACCACTTGATTGTGGTCAGTGATCCTTTTCATGTATTGAATTCAGTTTGCTGATTTTTTTTGAGCATTTTTGCATCTATGTTCATCAGGGATATTGGTCTGTTTTTTTTTTCTTTTTGTAATGTAACTCTGTACCCATAAAACTATAAAAAACTATATACAAAACCCTATTTCTCTCTCCCCCACCCCCTGGCAATTACCAATTGATTTTCCATCTCTGAATTTGACAACTACACGTATACCATGTAAATGAACTCCTACAGCATTTGTTCTTTTGTGTCTTCTTATTTTACTTATAGCCTCATGCTTCAAGATTCATTCATGTTATAACTTTTGTTAGAATTTCCTTTATTTTTAAGATTGGGTAATATTCCATTGCATGTTATATACTACATTTTGTTTATCTTTTTATTCTTTAATGGACACTGGGGTGTCAAGTGTTGCTTCCTTTCAGCTATTGTGAATACTGCTATGAACATGGGTGTTCGAATATCTGTTTGAATTCCTACTTCCAATTATTTGCATAGATTCCAACGTGGAATTGATGTATCATAATGTATCACATGGTAGTCTAGTTAAATTTTTTGGGGAAACTGCCATGCTGTTCTCCATACCAACTGTATCATTTTACATTCCTACCAATAGTAGAGCACAAAGGTGTGAATTTCTCCACATCCTTGCCAACACTGTTTTCTCATAGCAGCCATGCTAATGCACGTAAGGTGGTATCTGATTGGGGTTTTGAATTGCATTTCCCTAGTAATTAGTGATGTTGAGATTCCTTTCACATACTTATTGGCTATTTGCATATCTTCCTTGGAGAAATGTCTATTAAATTTTTTTGTTTATTGTTGTTAAGTTGTAGGAGTTCTTTGCATGTTTTGGATATCAACTCTTTATCAAATAGAGGATTTGAAAATATTTTATCCCATTCTGTGGGCCGTTTATTCACTCTATTGATTATATCTTTTGATGAACAGAAGTTTTTAATTTGATAAGGTGCAGTTTATTTTTTTGTTGTTGGCTATGTCGTTGGTGCCCTAGTCAAGCAATCACTGCCAGCCAAGTTCAGTGTCTGAAAGTTTTTCTCTTTTCCTTCGAGGAGTTTTATTGCTTCAGTGCTTACATTTTGGTCTTTGATCTACTTTGAGTTTATTTTTGTATTTGTGTAAGATAGGGTCCTACTTCATCCTTTTGCATTTGAATTTCCAGGTTTCTCAACACTTGTTGAAGAAATTATTCTTTCCCCCATTGAATGGTTTTGGCATCATTGTCAAAAATCATTTGACCATATGTGAAGGGGTTATTTCTGTGTACTCTCTTCTATTGTTTGTCTATGTGTCTCTCTTTATGGCAACACCACACTGTTTTGACTGTCATTTTGTAGTAAGTTTTAAAATTAGGAAGTTTAGGATCTTCAACTTTGTTCTTGTTTTTCAAGATTGGCATTTCTGAATCCCTTGGGATATCATATGACTATTAGGATGGGTTCTCCTCTTTCTGAAAAAAAAATTAGGATTTTTATAGGAATTGTATTGAATTTGTAGGTTGCTTTGTATAGTGTTGATATCTTAATTAATAATAGTGTGTTCCAATCCACGAACATGAGCTTCCTTTCTATTTTTCACTTCCTTGAGTATATGCCTAAGTACTTTATTTTTGATGCTATTGTAAATGAAACCGTCGTCTTAATTTCCTTTGCAGATTGTTGGTGTATAGAAACACAACTGACTTTTGTGTGTGTTCATTTTGCATACTGCAACTTTGTTGCAATTAAGTATTAAAGGACTAATAAGTAAATTCAACAAAATTGAAGGATACAAGATTGATATACAAAAATCAAGTTTCTATATGCTAGCAAAAAAAATTTTTAAGAAGCAACACCATTTATAATAGCATTAAAAACTACATACTTAAGGATTAATTTGGCATCATATTTGTAGGACTTTTACAATGAAAAGTACAGGGTATTGCTGAGAGCTATTAAGGAAGATCTAAATAAATGGGGACAGCTACGGTGTTCATGGGATGGCAGATTCAGTTAATATTGGTAAGATGCCAATCCTTCTCAAATTGACCTCTAGGTTTAATACAAACCCAATTCAAATTCCAGCAGAGATTTTTATTTTTGTTTTCAGGAATTGGTAAGCTATTTTTAGATTTCAGATAGGGACCCATAACTCCAAATTAAATTTCAAAATAAATACAAAATGGCTAATACGCTATGTGTTTGACGACTTAGTATAGAGCTACAGTAATGAAAGGAATGTGTTGTTACCATAAAGGCAGATAAAAAGAAAGTGGAACACAGCAGGGAGTCTTCCTATGTATAGATGGACAGCTGGCATGTGACAAAAATGCAAAGAGAGTTCAGTAGAGAAATGATCATTTTTTCCCAACAAATGATGCTAGAACCATTGACTATATGTGCAACAAAATAATGATCTTAAGTCTATAGTCCATAACATAAAAAAATAACTAAAATGGATTCAAATGTAAACACCTGTTTGAAAGAAAGCATAAGAAAAAAAATCCTTGACCTTTCCATTAAGCAAAGATTTTTTTAGATATAACACCAAAATACAGCCCATAAAAAACAAATTAATAAATTGAAATTAATCCGGATTAAAAACTTATACTTTTCAAAAAAAACCACAGGAGAATAAAGGGAATGAGCCACAGACTTGAAGAAAATATTTGTTTTTGAAGATTTTATTTACTTATTTGAGAGAAAGAGAGAGGTTGGGAGGGAGAAGGAGAGAGAAGCTGAAGCAGACTCCACACTGAGCATAGAGCCCAACATAAGGTTCAATCCCATGACCACAAGACCTGAGCTGAAACCAAGAGTTGGACACTTAACCAGCTAGGCCACCCAGATGCTCTGAAGAAAATATTTGTAAAGCATATATTTGATAAAGGATTTATACCCAAAATATATTTAAGTACTCTCAAAATTCAGTAACAAAGATACAACTCAATAAAAATATAGGCAAAATGTTTGAATAGCTACTTCACTAAGGAAGATCTGCAGATGATAGGTAAGGACTTATTCAACATCATTAGCTATTAGGGAAATATAAATTATAATAAGATACCACTACACATGTAGTAGAGTGGCTAAAATGAGAAATACAGACTATATCAAGTGTTGGTGATGATGTGGAGCAACTGCAATTTTATACACTGCTGGTAGTTCTTCAAAATGGTAAATAAGCACATATCTTCTGGCCTGGCTATTCTAATCCCAGCTGTCTACCCAAGAGAAGTGACAAGATGTGTCCATACAAATGAATGTTTATAACAGCTTTATTTGTAATTATTCCAAACTGGAAACAACCCAAATGTCCATCAGTAGATGAGCACATAAACAGATTTTGGTATATCCATATGATGGACTATTACTCAAAAATAAAAATGGATTAACAACTGATATATACAACATGAAATTATCTCCAAATGAAAGAAGCCTGACAAAAAACCAGGAGTACATGTTATATGATTCCATTCATATAAAATATTAGAAAATCCAAACTAATTCATAGAGACAAAGTAGATCAGTGGTTGCCCACATATATGGGTGCATTAACTTTTCATTTATTTTTGTTTTTGTTTTTCATTATGGCAAGAACACTTAACATGAGTTCTATCATCTTAACACATTTTTAAGTGCCAAACATGGTATTGTCCACTGTAGGCACAATGTTAAACAATGGATCTCTAAAACTTACTCATCTTGCATCTTGCAAATGTTGAACAACAACTTTATACAGGTTGAACAACTCTATATTTCTCTCTCCAGCCTCTTTTACTCACCTTTCCATTTCCAATGTTTGACTATTTTAGATCTCTCCTATAAGTAGAATCGTGCTGTATTTGTCCATTGATGGATATTTAAATGGTTTCCATAATTTGGCTGTTGTAAATATGCTTCGTTTGGATATATACCCAGAAGTGGGATGCTGGATAATTTGGTAGTTCTACTTTTTAATTTTTTTTGAGCATTTTTTTTCCATGGTGGCTATACCATGTGATATTTCTATAAACAATGTGTAAGTGTGCTAATTTCTCCACATTTTCACCAACACTTGTTATCTTTGGGGGCTTTTAAGAAATACTATCATACCATATAGTAATAAGCGAATGTCCAAAGTATCTAAGGAACTCCTACAACTCAACAGCCAAAAAATCAGCCAGATTTTAAAAACCGAGTGAAGGACTTGAATAGACATTTCTCCGAAGACCTACAGGTATATGAAAAATTGCTCAATATTCATGAATTAGTGGGAATACCTTTCTTGTTAAGCTCTCCCTGTTGATTTTAAGGAAAAGCCAGGCAGAAAATACCACTCTGTCACATTACCATACCTAGAGAAGGGCTCAACAAAGATTGCTTTTTTTTAAATCACCAGTTGTTGTCTGGCCGAGAATCTATGGAAATTGATTGTAAGAGAACCTTGTCGGCAGGATGGGATATTTCCCATTCACTGGGCTCCTGATCAGACAAAGGCACAGAAAGGAAAAAAAAAAAAAGTTAAGGCTGGACGATGAGGGAGGGAGAAGGTAGTGTTGGTGAAGTTCTGTTCATTTGACCTGTTTTGTTTTAGGACAGATTCTGCTTCCGAGGGTGAGAGAAAACGAAAAACAAGGATATTGGTAATGAAGTTACTCTTCTTGTTTTAAGGCAGTACTTTCTAAATTATGTGCGTGTCATCTTTAAAATTTGTCACTGCTCTAGTCTTTATTATCTCTAATTAAATTGATCTTAAAGTTATTATAAGAGGAATTATTTCACTTTTAAATGAAAAATTGTTCTTGCTTTGTTAAAAAAAAAAGATAAGTAAAAAGAAATGTGTTAAAGACCCTCTCATACCCGAGATTTATCCTGAATAGAACCAGAAGCGTTAATGAGTTGAAAAGAAATTACTTACTCTGAGTCAATGATATGTTTTTTTTTTTTCATTCCTATGGGCATTCTAGGTTTATAGTCAGTGCATTTTTAATGAACATTAAATGAATTTTTTAAAATTGAGATAATGGGTTTTAAATGAGTTACGGTTCCTTCTGGCTTGCTTTTAGCAATGGTTCTCACTCTCTGCTGCTCAGTCTTGAGTTGGAATCACATCAGGGAAGTTGATGAGACTATTGGAGGCTAGATATGTGCCGCCCTCCAAAGATTCCAACTTAATTGACCTAGGGTGATGCTCAGGCTTTTTTTTTTTTTTTTAAGCCCCTTCTGATGATTCTAATATGCAGCCAAATTTAAGAGCCACTGCTCTAGATTTTTGTTTTGTAGATAACTTTCAATACCTTTTTACATAAATCAAAGAAACAAGCAAAACCTTGCTGCATGGTTTTTTAATTGTGTGCATAAAACGAAGTAATGTTTGCTCTTAACATGACTTTGGGCTGAACTGTGGAACAAATCTGAGGGCTCACCGAAACTCCTCCCCCACCATAAATGTAAAATGCAAACAGGCCTCACTTATAAGGTACCCTTTAAAAATGACATTCTCTAGAAAAATGTTGAACTGCTAAACATTTTAAAGTAGGAGTAATTGGGTCTTCAACAACAAATTCATTTCAAAAGTAAATCACTCACCATGACCCACCTTAAAAGTTGTGGGTCATGCTGTCATAAACAAGGAGGGTACTGGTTTTCATCTGGATGTAGTGATGGCCTTGGGAGATGACTCTGCATTTTGCTATTCCAGGCACAGGGTGTCTCTTCCAGCTGATGCATTTCATATTTGAGAAGACTATGTGAGAGACTGTCACCACTTAATACATTTGTATTCATAAGAATCCTCCTTGCCTTAAAGTGAGAATGAGCTGTCACCAGCTGAATGGTGGAGTTTCTGTTGAGGCATTGATGATTTAGGACAGGGCCCTGGAGGGGCACAACAGATAGAGTTCAAATAGAGGGTTCTTTTAATTAAAATCAAGACAAATTCCACATTGAAATTGAGCATAAACATTATTTGTCACAGCATTTGTAAAAACTAATCCCAAACCAGAAAAACTTAAAAATATATAAGTAATCAGAGTACAGTTAAACCATCAGAAGAGGTTAAATTTACCTTGGTAGTCTGGTCTTAATTTCAGAATACTTCAGGTTTAAATAAAAATGATCCCCTTGTTTTATTTTAACTCCTTTCAAATGTAGACAAGGTTGTCATTGCAAAAGTTATCTTTTAAATTCTTTTGTCATTTGGGTTAATATTTCAAAGACACAGTGGTGACATGATAGTCAGGTGCATCAGCTTTTTTTTTTAAAGATTTTATTTATTCATGAGAGGCACAGAGAGAGAGAGAGAGGGGGGCAGAGACATAGGCAGAGGGAGAAGCAGGCTCCATGCAGGGAGCCAGATGTGGGACCTGATCCTGGGCCTCCAGGATCACACCCTGGGCTGAAGGCAGGCACTAAACCACTGAGCCATCCAGGGATCCTCTGCATCAGCTTTTGAACAAATACTATGATCTCTTTAGTTGCAATATTTGATGAGAAAGAATTCTTCTTTTTTAAATCATCCTTTACAACAGCAACTTAGTTGAGAATTGACTAAAGAAATCGGTTTCTTCTTTTTTCCTCCTCTCTCCTTACTACTGTGCCTTTTTATTATATGAGAGCCCAGGCTTCTAGAAGTTACTTCTCTTTTGTCTAACTTTGTAGTGATGTGTTTAGTTGTATGTAAAGAGAGCTAAAACCTTTTTAATAGCATACATTTATAATCTGTGCTTGTAAAAGTTTAATTATAGGAAACACCTCTTCTCGGATAGTAATCAAGATTCGAGTACTAGTACCAGTGAACGATCTTGGACCAGTAACCAAAAAAAGAAATCCCTAAAACCGTATTCTAGTAGAAAAAAGACAAGAACCAGAAATAGTGTAAGACGTAAGTTTGGTACATGTCTTCTTTCAAGTCATTTTTCAGATAAATCAGGTATTTTTCAGTTATGCAATGGAAGGGAGGGTACCAAAGAAAAAATGATTATATGATCCCTCTTCCCGGGTGCAATTACATTAAAAAGGTAAAATGTACATACATAAAACAGTACAAAAGAAAATGGAATTGACCAATAATTGTTAAATATATAGGTAATACATTTATTTATTTATTTTTAAAGATTTTATTTATTCATGAGAGATACAGAGAGAGAGGCAGAGACACAGGCAGAGGGAGAAGTAGACTCCCTGTGGGGAGCCTAATGTGGGACTCAGTCCCAGGACCCCAGCATCATGACCTGAGCCAAAGGCAGATGCTCAACCACTGGGCCACCCAGGTGGTCCTCTATAGGTAATATTTAGATGTTATAGATAATATACAGATATCTATATATCTATAAATATATATAGATAATAGATAAATGGAGTGGGAGTTCAGGTAAGAGAATCTAACATGAGCTGGCATCCCAAGGAAAAGCTTCAAGGAGGAGCCAGGTGGGATTTGAGCTAATAGCTGGGAAAGAATAGTACTCAAAAAGATGTGCAGAAGGGGAAGCATTCTAAATTAGATAAAGCTCCAAGGACAAGTTGACATGAGGAGAGGATCAGAGCAGAGTCTGAAGCAGAGAATTCACACTGAGGGCGGAGGCTCAGGAGCAAGTTGGATAATTAGAAAGGGATCTTAAGAGCTAGACATTTGAGCAAGCTTCAGGATTTGGAAATTGCTTCAGGATTTGGAAATATACACGGACATGTATAATTGGGGGAGGGAGAAATGAGTCTTTGCACTTCTCAGAAGCAAACTTATCCATAATATACTTCTTTTTTTTTTTTTTTTTTTTTTTTAGTTTTGCTATTTACCCCTCCCAGCAGTGGCAGTGAGCATGAGAAAGACCATGTAAGTAAATTATATCCGGGTGTCCCCTATGGCTTTAGAATGAAACAGGTCAATCTGGTTAGTGTTAAATTTCATTTACATCTCAAAAAAAAAAAAACTCCTTTCAGGATTATGAGGATAGCAAACCAGTGGTTTGCTGGTACATAAATCACTGTCAATAGAAACTGCAAGGATTTGTAAACATTTAGTATGCATCTTAGCTGAAGACTTCGGATCTTTCTTCACTGTTCCCAAAGTTGTTGCAAGATGTTTATTATGAATGATGCTCACATCTGGGCTACGTTCCTGTAAATATATGCTCTTTGAATTTACATTTTTAAAATAAACTTCTTGGTTTAATTTGTCTCTCAGTTTTTAGTTTGCTGACATGTTATTTCTAAAGCTTTTTAATGATTTAAACATTTAAATCTTTATTTTGTAAGTGGTTGAAATGACTTCAGGCTTATATAAATATTGAATAAATCCTCAAAGTTTCTTAATTCACTTTGGTTATCCTTGTTTTTGAGTTAAAAATAGGAACACGGGATGAATTCAAAGCCAGATTTTCCTGCTAATAGCTGAATCACCCCTCTCAGCAGTTGATTTTTGTCCCTTGTCAAGTGAGATATATAAAGACTTACAGATAGAGTGCCAGGTATATGAGTTTTCTAAGGGGGTGGCTGCTGGAATTTGGAGGGCATCACCCTACTCACCCATGCAGAAATACAGTGCGGTTAGTACTGTAATCACAGTTTTCTGCCCCTACCTCTGCCCCTTCTATTCCCTGCCCTTTGCGAATCTAAGGGGCTGTCATGTTCCATACCAACAAAGATAGTTTATAGTTTAAACCTGTGAGCCAGAACAAGGACTTAAATATTTGTCAAAGAGTTCAAACTGATTTATCAGTTAGAAATAGACCAAAAGAAAATTTTAAATACAGCTTTTGCTTTAAGGAAACACTAAAGGAACATCAAAACTTTGAGAATCCATGCATTTAAGCTGTGCAACTGGCAGGAAGTCTGTTGATTTTTCAGTGAGAACAGTGCTGACTTTGTACAAATATTAGCTTTCAAAATCCACTCCTCTGTGTTGGAATATAAGAGAATAATTTATCGGGCAAAAGTCAGCAAACTTGTTCTGTAAAGGATCAGATAGTAAATACTGTAAACATTTTAGACACAGAAGATCATAAATATTTTCTGCGGTGACTATTCAACTCTTTCATTGTAGCATGAAAGCAGTCATGGACTAAGTGAATGAGTGTGTTGCATTCCAATAAAACTTTATTAGAAGTCCAGTGAACTGTAGTTTGTGAATTCCTGATTTAGAGCAGTGGTTCTCAAACTGTAGTGATCATCAGAATGACTGACATGGTTTGTTTAAATGCAGACTGCTAGGTTCTGTCCTCATAGTTTCTGACTAAGTAAGAGATGCTCTGGAATTTGCATTTCTGTCAAGTTTCTGGGCGTCGCTGATGCTCTCTTCTGGTATGGGGGCCCTACTTTGAGGACTTTGTTTTTGTTTTTTTTTTATAATAAATTTATTTTTTATTGGTGTTCAATTTACCAACATACAGAAGAACACCCAGTACTCATCCTGTCAAGTGTCCCCCTCAGTGCCCGTCACCCATTCACCCCCACCCCCCGCCCTCCTCACCTTCCACCACCCTAGTTCGTTTCCCAGAGTTAGGAGTCTTCATGTTCTGTGTCCCTTTCTGATATTTCCCACACATTTCTTCTCCCTTCCCTTATATTCCCTTTCACTATATATTTATATTCCCCAAATGAATGAGAACATACACTGTTTGTCCTTTTCCAATTGACTTATTTCACTCAGCATAATATCCTCCAGGTCCATCCATGTGGAAGCAAATGGTGGGTATTTGTCGTTTCTAATGGCTGAGGAATATTCCATTGTATGCATAGACCACATCTTCTTTATCCATTCATCTTTCGATGGGCACCGAGGCTCCTTCCACAGTTTGGCTATTGTGGACATGGCTGCTAGAAACATCGGGGTGCAGGTGTCCTGGCGTTTCATTGCATCTGTATCTTTGGGGTAAATCCCCAACAGTGCAATTGGTGGGTCGTAGGACTTTGATTTAGAGTTATTTTTGAGTTAGAATTGTGAATTTACTGATTCATAATTGAATTAATTGAATCGAATTAATGTGCTTCCAACTTTGGGATCATGGTCTTAGTGTTTATTTTCAAATGGAGCAAATCCAGTACTTAAACCGCTTGAAAGGATATTAGAAATATACTGGAAGTTTTTGAAAGCTATTTTGAATGGTTATGTATATTAACACTCTTTTAAAAATACTATATTTTATTTATTATATATATATTTTATTGAAGTTCGATTTGCCAACATATAGATAAAATACTATATTTTAGGTGAAACTTCTAACACCATTATGGAAAGATACCTCCAAGCAGAGTAACTCCACACCTCCAAAAGTTTCTGGAGATTCTCCTGAAGATTCTGTTCAGAAAACAGGTACCTGATTTTCTGTTGATTTACATAGAAAAAATAAATTTTAGGAACAGTCATTGGAACTAAACAAGATTTTTTTTCTTTTAATATCTGTTGAAGAAAGTATGAATATATGATCTTTCCTTTAATGTCCTCATTAGCAAAATATAGAGGACATTGTGTTTTAATTTTGCTTTTAACATTGGAGATTAGCTCATGTTCCTTCTACTTTTAAAGAAGCAAGAACACTCAAATGATGACTTATAGCAGGGATTGGTAAACTATTGCTATAAAGTACCAGATGGTATTTTTTTGCTTTTTCGCCTCTATAGTTTCTGTTTCAACTATTCAGCTCTGCAACCTCAGCCCCAGCCCAGATGTAAACCAGTGCGCATGCCTGCATTTCCATTAAAACTTTATTTGCAAAACCAAGTGGTAGACTGGCTTTGCCTGGAGGGGCCAGATTTTGCCAACCCTTGTCCTATTAGGTGTGTATCTTAACCTCCATTGCATTTTATTGAAACTATTCATGTCTTTTGTAAGGGTAGGGATTTTAGTTTGTTCACCTTTATCATTCTGCAGCTGTGCACATTGCCAGGCGCGTGATAGCAGTCAGTAAGCAGGTGACGGACCACTACTTAGCGTGGCTGCCACTGGAAGAAAAGGAGTAAGGAAAAGAGAAAAATGTGGCAGTAGACAGCAAGAGATAGAACTATGAGAGAGAAGAAGGAAGGGTCACAAGCTTAAAGTGGTAGAAACCTTGTCCATATGTTGGGGGCCAACTGGGAAGCTATGAAAGGTGCTGATTTAGTTGAGGCTCTTCATTTTACCTACAGATCTACAAACCCAGTAATCCCACATGCACTGAAAGATACAAAGGGACTTTTTTTTTTTTAGTATCTTTTTTGGATGGTAAGATTTAACATAGAGAGTGATAGCGGAACATTATTATCTGAAATTGCTTCTTCACATGTTTATTACCTGGAATCTGTTCTAACGCCTAGAACTTCAAAGTCCCCACCCACTGAGCAATCTGTCTTCCTTGGAACACTCAGAAGTTGAAGAAAATATATCTAAGGTACCATTTAATTGTTGGTTATTTATCTGGTTTTTCCAGAGCTAATATCCTGTTTGCATGATGTGCTTTATTCCTTCTTTTGGGTTGATGTAGCACTTTTTGTGTCTTATTGTAACATACCTTTATGGCCTTTTTTTTTTTTTTTTTTTTAGACTGTAGACCAAGAGTCATTGATGAAGAGTACTAGCTTCAAACACAAACTGCAAAACTTGGAAGACGGAGGTGAGGGAATACTAAACTCTGCAGAATAAAGCAAATAATAATTTGATTTTGGTAGGCTGGACTATTACTCCAATTGAAGCAGATAAAAATCACTTTACATAGGGACACCAGGCATTGGAGAGAGCAGTACGATCTGCTTACCATCTCTAAAAGTGTGTCAAGGTCAAGGGGAGGGACAGGGGGCTTCACTCAGGAACAACAAGGGTCTTGTTTCAAGAAGCATGTAGTCTGGGACTGGCTGCCTCCTCTCTGGCCTCAAAGGAGGGCTCAGTGGGGGCCCTTTCCTAAGGATCTGGCCCAGAGGCTCTTTCCATCCCTGAGTGAGTAGGTCACTTGCAGTTGATAAAGCAATGTTCTAAAAAAATGGCGTGGCCAAGTATGGAAACTTCCCAGTTCGTTTTCTCATGGTAACCACAGTAAGATTTTCCAACAGTTCACAGGTTTGTGAATTAGTGTTAGCACCTAGCTACTCTTTAGGATGTTCCAGAACCGTTGGTTTTCTCTTTACATTTTAAGTGAAATATCAGGAAGATTGAAATAGCTGTACATTCAGGAAATAAACAGATGTTGGCAAGGATGCAGAGAAAGGGAAACCCTCTTACACTGTTGGTGGGAATGCAACAATTGATAGAACAATCAGACTGAAAAAAATGAACATAAAATATTTGATGAACATAATTTTAAGTGACCTAATGGACATACCTTTATGTAGATGTTACAGTGATCATGAATTATACTTTTTGACCATAAGCTACTTCTAAAAAATTGACCTCTACTGGGTCAGAGTACATGTCAAAACTTCAAAGGTTTATGTGATACAGACTATGTTCTCTAGCCACAATGCAATCAATCTAGAAAACAGTAACAGAATCATAGCTTTAAAAAATCCCCTACTACTGAGAATTAAGAAATATACTTCTGAGTAATCTTTGGGCCAAAAAAGTACAAACAAAAAATAGAAAATATTTTAAATTGAAAATATATATTATACCACGTGGCACTTACCTCTAGTGCTACTCAGAAATGTACCGCAGTAAATATATATGATATAGGAAATATTATGTGAGAATATCTTTGACTTTTGGTAGCAAAGAATTTCTCAAGATCAAAAAGTGCTAGCCACAGAGAAAAGATGAATAAATTAGAATTTATTAAAATTAAAAACTTTATTTAAAAATCAGCCATAAAGACCTACACTGAGAGCATCATACAAAAAGAAGTACAAACCATACAGTGGAAGAAGACATTTACAAGACCTATAACCAAGTCCTGGATATATGAAGAGTTCCTAGGAACTGATGTAAAAAGAATCCTCCAGACAAATGGGAAAGACGTTTTAGATACTACACAAAAGAGGAGATTCAAATGGCTAACATGTAAAAATGATTCTTAACCTTAATCAGGGATATTCAAATTAAAACTTCAACGTCTACACACACACACACACACACACACACACACACATTTTAAAATCCTGAGTGTTTGAGAATGTGAAGCAACAGGACTCTTACATACAGCTAATGGGAAAGTAAATTGATAAAGCCAGTGTGGAAAAACAATTTGGCACATCTAAAACTGTTAAAGACACATAAACTCTGTAGCCTAGCAATTCTGTTCTTAAGAATATATCTAGGGAACACTTTTCACATACGGACAGGGAAATGTAAATCATTCTGTATAGTGGCATTATTTATAACATCCCAAACTGCAAACAATCCAAATTTCCCACAGCCCTAGAACAGATAAAATATGGTCCATTCATATAACTGAATGTAATGCTGTGATTAAAATAAATATATTTCACCTACATCCCTCAGCATAAATAGATTTTACAAATGATTCTGAGCAGAAGCAGGCCACACAAAATTTACACGGTATGATGCCATTTGTTTGCATTATACATGAAATAAAACTGAAATGCATATTATTTAGGGCTGCAAACAAAGAATGAATTGTAAAGAAAAGCAACAGCTGCAGTGAAATGAGGGGGCACCTGCACCCCAATGTTCATAGCAGCAATTTCCACAATAGTCAAACTGTGGGAGGAGCCAAGATGTCCTTCAACAGATGAATGGATAAAGAGGATGTGGTCTGTATATATGATGGAATATTACTCAGCCATCAGAAGAGACGAATATCCACCGTATACATCGATGTGGCTGGAACTGGAGGGTACTATGCTGAGTGAAATAAGTCAGCTGGAGAAAGACATTTATCATATGGTTTCACTCATATGCAGAATATAAAAAACAGCACAGAGGACCATAAGGGAAGAAGGGGAAACTGAATGGGGAAAAGTTAGAAAGGGAGACCAAGCATAGAGACTCTTAGTCATAGGCAACAAACTGAGGGTCGCTGAAGGGAGGTGGGGGGACGGGTAACAGGGTGGCAGGCATTAAGGGAGGGCACATGATGTGATGAGCACTGGGTGTTATATGCAACTGATGAATTATTGAAAACTACATCTGAAACTAAGGATGTACTGTATGTTGGCTAGTTGAATTTAAATTAAAAAACCAAATATCTTCTCTCATTCAGAAAGTACATTACATTGATGGTTTCTTGTGCTGTACAAATGCTTTTTATTTTGGTATCGTCTCACTAGCTTATTTTTTGCTTTCATTTCCCTTGCATCAGGAAAAATATTTAGAAAAAATGTTTTAAAAAAAGAAAAAGAAAAAGAAAAGAAAAAATGTTGTTTTGGCCAGTGTCAGACACATTACTGCCTGGGCTCTTTTCTAGGAATTTTATGGTTTCAGGCCTCACGTTAGGTCTTTGAATTTATACATTTTGAATTTATTTTTGTGTATGGTGAAAGAAAGTGGTCTAATTTCATTCTTTTGCATATATATAGCTGTCCTTTTTTCCCGAACACCATTTGTTTAAGAGACTTTTTCCCATTGGATTTTCTTTCCTGCTTTGTTGAAGATTAATTGACCTTATAATTATGGGTTTATTTTTGGGTTTTCTGTTCCATTGATATGTAGTATCCATTTTTATGCCAGTCCCAAACCGTACAGATCACTCCGGCTTTATGATATAACTTGACGTCTGGAATTGTGATACCTCCAGCTTTGCTCTTCTTATTCAAAATTGCTTTGGTTATTTGCTATCTTTTCTAGTTTCATACAAATTTTAGGGTGGTTTGTTCTAGTTCTGTGAAAAATACTGCTAGGATTTTAATAAGGACTTCACTAAATGTGAAGATTGCTTTGGGTTGTATAGACATTTTAATAATATTATTCTAATCCTTGAGCAGGAGATGTTATCCCATTTCTTTGTGTTGTCTTAGTTTTCTTCATCAGTTTTCTGCAGATTTCTCACTGCTTTGGTTAGGCCTATTCCTAGGTATCTTATAATTTTTGGTGCAATTGTAAGTGGGATTGTTTTTTTTTTTATATTTCTTTTTCTGCTGCTTCATTATTAGTGTGTAGAAATGCAGTGGACTTCCTTCCATTCAATTATTTTTGTATCCTGAGATCTTACTGAATTTATTTATCAGTTCTAGTAGTTTTTATGGTGGCATCTTTAGGGTTTTCTGTATAAATAGTATCATGTCATCTGCAAACAGAGTATTTTTCTACCTTACCAATTTGGATGCTTTTTATTCCTTTTACTTGTCGGATTGCTGTGTCCAGGACTTCTAGTACTAGGTTGAGAAAAGTGGTGAGAATGGATATTCTTGTATTGGTTCTGACCTTAGGGGAAAAGCTCTGTTTTTTCCCTATTGAATTTGATGTTAGCTGGGGAGTTTTCACATAAGGCCTTGATTAATTGAGGTAGGTTCTATACAAATCTACTTTGTTGAGGGATTTTATCATGAATGTTGTACTTTGCCAAATGCTTCTTCATCAATTTATTTTTTTCTCTTTTTTTTCTTCATCAATTTAAATGATCATACTTTTTTTTTATTCTTGTTCTTACTACTGTGTTGTATCAAGTTGGTTGATTTGCAAATATTGAACCACCCTTGTATCTTGGAAATAAAGCCTGATCATGGTGAATGATTTTTTTTAATGTATTATTGGATTTGGTTTGCTAATATTTTATTGAGAATTTTTGCATCTATGTTCATCAGAGACACTGGCCTATAGTTCTCTCTTTTTAAGTGTCTTTATCTTGTTTTAGTATCATGGTAATGCCTCATAGAATGAGTTTGTAAGGTTTTCTTTCCTAATTTTTGGAATAGTTTCAGAAGAGTAGATATTAACTCCTCTTTAAATGGTTGGTAGAATTTACCTGTGAAGTTATCTGGTCCTGGACTTTTGTTTGTTTGGAGTTTTTTGGTTTTTTTTTTGTTTTTTTTTTTTTTTTTTTTTTTACTATTGATTCAATCTCATTGCTGGTAATCAGTATGTTCCACTTTTCTATTTCTTCCTGATTCCATTTTAGGAAGTTAACACATTTCTAGGAATTTATCTATTTCTTCTAGATTGTCCAGTTTGTTAGCATATAATTTTTCATAATATTCTCTTATCCTTGTATTTCTGTGGGATCAGTTATTTTTCCTCTTTTTGATTTTGTTTGAATCCTCTCCCTCTCTCCCCTTGCAAAGTCTGGCTAGAAATTTATCAATTTTGTTGATCTTTTCAAAGAGCCGGCTCCTGGTTTCATTGATCTGTTTAATTTTTTTTTTTTTTTAGTTTCCATTTTGTGTATTTTTGCTCTACTCTTTATTATTTCCTTCCTTCTACTGATTTGGGTTGTGTTTGTTCTTTCTCTAGCTCCCTTAGGTATAAAGTAAGAATGTTTATTTTACATTTTTCGTCCTGAGATAGCCCTGTATTGCTATAAACTTCCCACAGAGAGCCACTTTTGCTGCGTCCCAAAGGTTTCGTACCATTGTTTTCATTTTCATTTGTCTCCATGTATTTTTTATTTGCTCTTTGATTTCTTGGTTGATCCATTCATTACTTAGTAGCGTGTTATTTAACCTCCACATATTTGTGCTCTTGCAGATTTTTTCTAAGATTTATTTTTTAGAGAGCACAAGTGGGGGG